CCCACCCCACCATTCCCCCTCCACAAACTTATCAGCTGGGAAAATCCAGAGATCTGAGGGTTTGATCTGGAGATCGCAAGTTGGAGTTACTTTGACTTAGAAATCCCAAGTCTTGCAATGGTTTAACAATAGTTGGCATTACTGCACAACACAGACCAAATACCCTACCCCGCCACAGACAAAGCAGGGGAGCCACAGCAACCAATGTCCTGCTTCCATGAAACATTATTAGTATATTCTCAAGAGAAACCAAGGCAGGGGGCCACGTCCCCTACTACAGAGGAAAGCAAAACCTTCCCCACAGTCCGTAGTAATCTGGCCATGCGGTGCAATTCCTTCCTGGCCCCAAATATGGTGATGGGTCTGCCCCTCTAGATTCTCGTTGCCCTTCTTCATTCCTGGTTAAGAAACTGAAGCTGCTCTTCGTGGTGCCTGGTTTGCCACATGGCACGTGTTGACTGGTAGCAAGGTTGGACCTCCGTTTCCTGGCCAGATTGGAGTGGTCAGGCAAAAACTGACTGGAACATCAGTTCCCCTTGTGGTCTCGAAACTGGAGCTGTTGCCCTTTTTGACCATATGAAGGCTGCTGACAGTTTAAAGCCAGAAGGGTCCATGTAGGGCATGGGTGTCAACCCCAGGCCCCGGGCTGGATCCAGACCTGCAGGGGCTCTCCCCAGGCCAGATCTGTGGGTCTGTGTTTGGGTGCCAGTGTGAGTCGGGTGGGTGGCAGCGTGGGCCAGAGGCACAGACCCACATTCCTGCAGCATGGAGCTGGGGGCATGCCACTGCAAGGAGCCTGGGATGTGTACTGGCACGAAGCCCTGGTCAGGCAGCACCATGGAGATGGGGACATGCAGCAATGAGGAGTCTTATTTGACCAGAGCTCTTCACCACTGCATGCTCCAAGCTTGTCAGAGACATATCCATGGCTTTGCACTGCACAAACAGGGCTCTGTACAGCTACATACCCTCAGGCCCATGCTGCCCCGTGCCCAGGCACTGCTGACTGGACAGTGGCATGGAGCTAGAGGTGTGCAGTTGCACAGAGCCACATTCATGAAGCCACACAGCCCTAGCTTCTTGCTACTGCTCAGAAGCATTGAGTACTGGCTGGTTGGCAGCAGCCGGGGATGTTTGGCAATGTTGAGCTGAGGGTCAATGTACTTCCGGTAGCCCACAGAAGTACTGCTGGGCTGGATGCAACAGTTCTGTATGCTGGGTTCAGCCCATGGGCCGTATGTTTGACATACTGGATGTAGGCTGACTTTTTGTATAGAACAGGTGACAGAATTTCAGCCAAATTTCTGTGAGGCCCATCACTTGAACACTGTTTGAAAGATTACTTGCTGTGCCTAAGATGTTTAACTCTACTTTTCTATCAACGATGACAAGAAGGTTCTGTGCATATACGGTGGTTAGCAACAAAGATTTCTTTTCAGATTGTATTGCATAAGAATACACTTTAGAAGTGTCCAGTATCATCCTTCTACCCACAGACAAAGTATCCAGATTCTCTTTACCCACCCCCTCATTCTAACTGAGCCAGCTACTTTCTCTTCGTTAAGGGAATTTTTTCACTTTTGGAGACAAATTCATGGACTCACACTGGTTGCTGTTCTGTATAAATAGGCAGCAGCAGTAACCTCCAGTATTGCTATATAGAGACACAGAAAGAACAGTGTCTTATGGATATTTACCTTACTTGATGTCCTATATGCAAAAAGAGACTAAACAACAAACAGAACGAACAACATGGTTGGATCCCATTGCTGCTTACATCCAAGTTACTTCAACTTTTCAACACTCATAAAAGAGCAACTGTCCCCAGAATAAGGGCTTGCCAACATGGGACATTTTTACATGTTATAATACTATAACCCCAGACTCCACAACTATTTATAATAAGATAGCCTTTTCGTTTACATTTAGTTTAAATTGAATAAAAGCAAGGCAAAACAAAATATCTCCTTGTTTAGATGAAGCCCAATTCAGTTTGAGGAACTAGAATATACAGGAGTGGAGCAGTGTTTTTTATCATATATAAAATCTCCACCTGATTTGGCTTTCACAATTTGCTTCATCTTTTTTTTTTCAGTTGTCCACTTCTATAGAAAAAAATCCTCAATATTAAAGTGGTTAAATAACTTTCATTTAGCCATCTTTACATAAGAAAAGTTATAGCAAACCACAAGCATTCAAAGTAAAAACAAAGCTAATTTATTTTTATTTCTTTTTAAAAGAAAATATAATATTTTTTTTTAAAAGTCTTTACATCAGAGATTAGTGGACAGGGACTGCATTAAACTGGACACGTTTTCAAATCACAAATCTCCAAAATACATTTAAAATTTAATTGAAAATACAAAAACTCTGCCAGGAGGTCAAGAGGTAAGGACTTCTGAGTGATATTTTTTTTATTGGACCAACCGCATGAAGCAGGACCTGATGAAGAATGGTTTGCATTCAAAACCTTGTCTAACTTTATCCCAACTATGCAGTTGGTCCAGTAAAAGAGACCACCCACAAAATCCTTGCCTCTCTCAATTACTGGACCATCACAGCTACTAGATCATTCCAAAACTAGCAAAGATCTCCATCATTTATGAGGCTATGTTGCAAATAAATTTTGTGGCATAACTTTCTTTTCACATTTTAGTCTTAGCAAGTCATCCATTCTAATATCTGGTGTGCAAACAATCTCCAGTAAAATAATTTTCTTTTAGATGACATCAACTGCAAGACTCCCAGCTAAATTCAAAACATAAGTTGTTTAAAGAATATACTTTATTATAAAAAGGTGCAATTTTCTGTAAAACTGTATTAAGCAATAAATTTATAGTACAGCCATTGGAAGGAATCAAATCAAAGTCCAAGTGTATGCTTTTCTTCTTTTCACATTCACATCTTAATTAACAAAAATAAGCATACTGTACACTTATATTGATATACACCAATGGAGTAACAATAACTTCTCTCGAGATTACATTAGTGAGTTGTCCATTTCAAAAGATCATTTTTAAAAAGTTGGTATAATGCTTACCCAGGTAAAGGTGCTGCAACAGTCAAAAATGAAAATGTTTCTGATTCAGACCCATTTTGGAAACCCAAAAGAAATACGTTCAGCATTAGAATATGTTCGTGGAAATTATATGTTAAAATGTTAAAATTTCAGAATTACCATTTTCAGCAAGTCCATCATGGTCTATAATTAGATTGATAAAATCTGTTGTAACAGCTTTAAAGAAAAAGAAAAAAGAAAAATACACTTAAAAGATTATATGGTGAATCTACAGTCTTTGCAGTTAGTCAGACATCAATAAGAACCAAAAGCAGTGCCTATGAAATCTATTCATGCATTCAAAGTCTCTTTCTGATCCACTGGTAGCTGTCAGTGGAGCTCACTAAAGTATGAAAGATAAATTAATACAGTAGCTTGGGTGTCAAAAAAGGAGAAAAGAAAAAAAATCATGATTTTGTTAGTTTGTCTTATACAACCAAATAGAATATTGATGAATAAGGTTAGCTTTAACTGCTCCCTCTTCCTAACACTGTGACAGAAAAAGACAAAAGTCAGGAATTTTAGAGTACAGGGCCATTTAATTTAAAGTAAAGCTTTTGTGAAGAAAAAAAGCCAGCATGAGTTACCAGCTGACTGTCAACCTTTGAACATCCTAGCTTGTGTCAAAGTGCTAAATTGCAAGGACAGTTTTTGTACTGAGTGATATTTTCACACGAGACAAGAAGAGCCCAATTCTGGCACCAGGTACAAAGCTGGGACGGTTATCTCCCAAATGTACAAACTATTTGAATGCTTAGTTTGGCAGTATGTATTGCTGTCCCTCCTCACAGATTATGTCTGTCATTGGCAGACAGTAGCATGTAGGATGATATTGCAGGGAGGTTGCAAGGGGTTGGGACTGTGTCTCTTGGTACACGTATTAGAATTCAGGTCTGCTAAGCAATGCACCATCACAACTGCTTTTCCAAAGCTTAAATGGGAGGATTACAGAAGGGTAATAGTTTGGATTTTATGAAAACCTTTTGAAAGTAAGAGACAGAAAACATTAAGTGAACAAATACTGGCATATTTTAGTTGTCTATCCATAAGCAATCTAAACTGATTCATTGGGTTTCCTCTGCAGGATGCAAGCTGTGAGTCCTTTGCTCTGTTAGCTCTGCCAGGAGCAGGTTCACAGACGCTTGATAACTGGAAGCCTCAATTCTGGTGGGACTGGGAAGCCTAATTCAAAGCCTATTGAAGTTAAGAGTCTTTCCACTTAGTTTGATCTGCTTTGAATTAGGTTCCTGGAACATGTATCCTAGGCAACCTCTGCAAACAAGATTCCTAAGAAGCACTAACTGGAATTTAAGGCGATCCTCTCCTTGATGGGCCCCCAAGGTGACAAACATATGAGTTTTACCAGCACATCCTTCCCAGGGAAGAGCCTCCTCCTTTGCTGCCACTACTTGCACATGCAGGTGCTATCTGTATGCATGTCCTTGGCCAGGGAGAGCAAATGTGGCTACAAGTAAGAATTTGACCCCACTATTTAATTCACCTGCAGATAGGGATATCTTGTTTCAACATATTGGCTTAGAACACAGTTCTGCAGACACCTATGCATGCAAGTAATTTAAAACAAAATCATTTATTCTCTTTAATGCAATTATTTGGGTAACTTATGCATATGGTCCCCAATTCAGCAAACACATGCTGCATTGTGCTTGAAGACAGGGGGATGTAGGCATACTCCTAAGTGCTCTGCCTAGTCATGTCCATGCAGGTTCACGCCACTTATAACATAGAAGATTGAAGCCTTAATATAACATAGTGTTCTTGCCTTTTGTGGTCTCATGAAAAACTGAAATGCAAGGTAAATGCATATTTATTTTATTCCAGTCTATAGAGAAAATGTATTTAGGCAGTTTTCCAAAGTGTCTTACATACTGCATGCACAGTAAATCAGTTTAATAGTTTAACTTTACATTTAGTTTCCAAAATATTGTATCCAAAGCAATGAGATCATGTTATAGCCTACTTTATCAATATCAATTTCAGAAATCAAAACAGTTTGAGGTACCAGAGCTGGTTATTCATAAAATTTTGAAAAAATCTAATCTGATTGTTGAAATTTACAGTAACAATATGAATATTTACTGTTAGGAAGAAATTTCATTTTGAAAGTTTTAGTCAATTTATAAATCCCTGAAAATAGGGGATATAAGATGTGGAGCTTTTAACACAATCTCATTGCAGTATAACACTAAAGATTTAATATTTGTTAAAATGATTGAACAGTTTCCAAATACAGATGTTTTGGACCTCCTATGCTAGAAATCAGGATGGTATTTTAGGGCCCTTATATTACGCTTTTGTTAAAAAAATGTTTAAAGGCTGTATTGTTTGCTTTAACAACAAAATCTACTTGTTTGCAGTATCTTATAAAGATAGCTTATAGTTAGTAGGTCACCATCATGTAGTAACATGAAGACTATGCAAATCTACATTTGTAAAGGCTTATAATACATGCAGTTTTTTACTTATTACACATTGTCTAGTTGTGTGCACCAAATGTATTGTGCCTCAAACACTAACAAACCTTAACTCACACCATGTAAGTATATACATATATGGTGCTACATCTATATAGTACCATAGTAAATATAGCTGTAACTAAATGGTGCTATAGATATGTAACACCATAGTTAAGTTCTAATTCAGAAAAAAATCTTAAAATCATTGTATTAACAGTATTTCACAGTAGAAGGAGGCAATTCTTCCTTGTTGAATTCTTCCATCCTTCAGGAAAAATCTTTTTGTAAACATCATAGCTATTAATCTCTCAATATAATCATTGAATATTTTATTCATAATGGTAAATAACTAACCAACATGAATAAAGTTGTCGTACAACAACACCACTTTCAGACAAAACAGGTATTTATTAAAAAAATGTTTATAAATAGTTTGTGTCTTGCATTTTAAACTACATTTTCATAAATAACAACATTTAAAAGTGCTGAATATGGTAGGATAGTCAGCAACGCCACTGTAAACAGAATTTTGTTTTCTGCCTTGCAGATTTTTTTAATCCCATTTTGTCAAACACTACATCAGTTAAAATATTTGCATAGGGAATAAAGAATAGCCCTTTTGATCATCTCCTGAATTCTATATAGATTACAAAACCAAGTGAATTTAAGAAACAATTCCTTAAATTGTTCATATTTACCCAAAAAAGCACACAGGTTTCAAGTAAACATAATAACCAAAAGAATCCCAAACCTACTATTTGAAATGTTCAATAAATTAAGAAAAAATGAGAGGTAGTAAAACAAAGGAAAATCACCCCACCAAATAAACTAAGGCCCAGATCATACAGTTTATTCCATGAAAGCAAAGCTCTGTGCCTGCATGAGCCCCAGTGACTTCAGTAGGATTCTCAGATGAGAGCTGTCCCTGAGGAATAACTTGTAGATTGAAGGGCCTTGCATTTTATGACCAGATTCCACTCAGTTACGCAATTATAGACTCATTCAACCCCACTGAACTCTACATCTATATCAGTGTAAGCGAGAAGAATCGTGCCTCCTAGGTCTTGGTATAAGGCCAGAGTTGCCAGTAATAAATACTTTTAAACATCTACTCAGAGTCATTCTATGATTTATCTTCAAAGATAGTTTGGAGGGGATGCTAACACTGAAAACAGTTTTGATAGCTGGAAGTATGAAGATGGGATTTTGTAAGTTACAAGTTATTATTTCTCTAAACATCAAAATGCATACTAAAATTATATATGTATATTTTTAAAAAAAGGCCAAGTAGACACCTGTTAAAAACAGCATGGCAGCAAGTAGGTTCTCAGAGTACTGTACTGCCTTAGTTCTGACTGAATAGTAAGGGCTCATTCAGAGTTCTTTACCCATGAAAGAAACCTGTTGATTTCATATAAGTTTTGCTTGGGTAAGAAGCATAAGATCATAAGCCCCTGAAATTTGGTTTTAATGATCTCCAAAATCCCATGTTTTCAAGGAGTTATTAAAAAAATCAATGAAGCTAGAAGCTGAGATGTATCTCCTTTAAACACTCCTCTTGTAAAACACTACTTTGTTTAAAAACATCATTTCAAGGAACTTTGCTTTCAAAAAGTCTTACAGGCCAGATGCAATTCATCAAAATGCTCTAAAATGCTACATGTAGGCATTATTTTATTAAACTTCTTTATTCAAAAACTAAATTATCAAGCTTGCTTTTTTTTTTGCTGAAGTACATAACATTAGACAACAGTGTTAGAACTGGATAGCCAGTCTTTAATAAATCAATTACAGTATCTGACATCTGAAATGTACATTGAAACTCTTTGTTCTTATAACAGTTAAATAATATCAGCGCATAGATTGTGTCATCCAGACATGGATCCCTTTAATTTGTTTGTGCTTTTTTTCCCCCGACATTGCAGACTCTGTAACGAAAATGCCACAGTTTTGGCAGTGAACAACCAGAGGAATCCCCTACTTTGATTTATTTTAAATAAACAGTGATAAATAGCTCTTTTTCCTGTACAGAAATAGTGGCTTCAAAAAGTCAGTGTATTGTACTCAGTAGAGCATGTTGAATAATGCTACACCTTAAAAATTGGCTTTTTTCAGTATTAGTGATGTTAAAAAAATGCAAGCCTCCTTCTGGTTTGCTGTAATTATTTCTATGTACCATAAGACTGTATTGCACAAAAATTTTTTTTTAAATACAGATATAATTTATGTTATTGGATTAAATATTGCAACAACTAAGTGGTAAGTGAAGCAGTTTTACCTTGCACATGCAGTGTGAGGATACACAAGGAGACTGTTCATAAAACTACAAATACATCATTGCAATCTTGACTGCAGTTAAGTAAAAGGAGTGTGAAACAAATGTATTTTGCCAAATCCATTGTTCCCCTCCCCTGGCAAACTCAAGCAGAGGAACTTAGTAAAAATGTAGACAGAGACCATAATATGTATTTGTTTTCTTCACAGTAGCCTGAGTAGTGCTAAACTGTAGTTCTCCAGGAACTCAGCTCCAGATGTTATTAAACTACTTTTATTCACCCCCATCCAATTCCCCCTTCCTACTCCCCCTCCAAAAAAGGTTAAAAAAAAATTAGAACTAAGTTTCAGAAATAGAGCCTGTAATACTTTCAATGAGAGACTTATAAATCTGAGAGTTCAAAAACCTTGGAAAAGAGTCTCTGTGCATTAAGGTGTATATCTGAAGCTGGGCATCTTCATACATATGAGGATTTGGATCCAACAAGTTCCTGTTGATCACTTCTCGGACCCGAGAATCGAGACTAACCTGAAGAGAGTATAAAATGTCTGTTAAACAACAACTTTGGATGTAGCTTTATAAGTATCTATGTTTCATAGACTTCCCAACAAAACATAATCCAAAAAGCATCAAGAGTTTATCAGTTTGCTTTTTCAGATGTGTTCTATGTTAGCATAATCTGTTTCTTCCCATGTCAACATGAAAAGCATGAACAAAACCATCCAAGCCTACCAAACACTTTTTGGTTCACCTGAGTCTTTGATTGCACTCTCTTATGAAATCAGTATTGCCAATGCATGATTTTTAGCATTGTTCTTAAAGTCTATGCTTCTGGAATGTGAAAAACTTAGCTCTTTCTTTTATATAATGTAAATATATATAAAAGAAAGAGCTAAGTTTTTCACATTCCCAACACGTAGACTTTAAGAACAATGCCAAAAATCATGAGTTGGTAATACTGCAAAATAAAGATGCACCTTTAGCACTGACCAAACAGTGCAGTTAACAAAAGCTATGCTGTAACATGGATTTCCCCATACATTTCTTTTTATGCTGATCATTTTGGTTAGTTTATATTTGTAGATATTGCTTAGTAGAGGATACTGAGATAGCTCTCATTATTCAGCTGAAATCCTCTTTCCTTGTTTTCTGTAGTTCAGTTTTTTTAAGCTTTCCTCTTACCATCCTCAAGTTACTGTACTACCGTTCTGGGGGGGTTTTTT